AAGTTTAAGAAATTCTTGAAAATTTTATAATTACACCTAAATCCTAAATCCTAAATTTTTTTAAAACTTCAACGGGGGCAGCTGCCCCCATACTAAATCCGCCACCGGAGACAAACACTCGTATTCTATTTTGCTTAGAAACTTTGAATATGTGTTTATACTCAAAATAGCAAAATTTAAAGGTGATATGTGGAGGTGATTTCATGGTCAAGAACTAGTCGATGGGAATTTAAGCCTACCAGGATGGATAAGAAAGTGTGACTTTAAAAAATAGGTGGAGCTGACAATATCACCGCCGTGAACGGTGACAAAACCCTGGATCTCGTGCCAATTGAGAACTTACCTAAACCGTTGACCATCACGGTCCTCTCTCCAGCACTGATGCACGGGGCTCAGCTACGAGTCGCCAACCAAGGTGTTCCCGGAGCATACAGCGAAGCTATCGCCGGCAAAGCGTATCCGAAATGCGAGGCCATACCTTGTGACAAGTTGCATTTCAAGCAGTGGAGCTCTGAATCGCTGACCACACAGTTCTCCCTGTAAAAAAATCTTGGAAAACATAACATCACGAGCTATCAATTAGAGACACTTTAGTGCACGTTTGCATATCTCGAATGAAGAAACCATGATTGCAGTTATGGTTAAAAAAGATAATTTCGACAGTTATGAGTCATCTCCTCTAATTACTGAAGGCAAAATTCCAGATAAGAGATCCCTTGATCAAAACAATGACTTCACATAGAGCTAACATCTTTTTTACATAGTTTATTTCCTCGTAAATTTATTTTAACATATAATCTATCACTCGGTAATTTTCTTTTCCGTTTAATAAGTACAAAAATCTTTTCATCTATAAATTCCAGTTCTTATGTTATTTTATATTCCAATTATCTTTTTTACATTTTAGTTCATTTCTTTACTAGTTGAAAATTATTTAAATCCTTGATCTCCTGACTAGGTATAGAAAAGAATTCAAAAATAATTTTACATCTCATTACAATCATTTGAATACTTACGATTTATGATCTCACGTCGATTTAAATAAGTAAGATTGTACGTGTTTAAATTTTAAGTTCAATTAAACTTGGACACATCCATACTTCAAAAATATGTCAAAGAATATGCAAAACGCCCGGCAAGTATCTATGCAAAACGTCAAAAAAATTAATAAAACAAAGTTAATGGGATCCACTAAAGAAAAAGTGTTTAAATAAGTGGTCAAGCTTCAAGATCATCTCTTGAAGCTATATGTCAATGTTACGAAGGAATCAAAAGTTCACAAACTGTCAAAGCATTAGAATTTGAAAAAATAAAAAAATTCAAGTGGGCAGCTAAGAATCTCTTTTTTATACATGAACATTAATAAGGCAGCAAAAAAGAAATTTCGGGTTAGTTCAAGTGATAATCAACTATTTCATAGATTCCTTAAGTTGGTATTGATAAAAAGTTTGATATTTTACATTGTGAAAATGTTCTTTAGAGCCATCTTCCTTAAATTTAACTCCTGTGCGTAAAGAGGAGACTTTGCGCATGAATTTAAGTTGATTACTGATCACAAGTCTATATGGGCTCGGTTGATGGAGGTTATTAGGTTATAATAAATAAAAAAAAAAAAGGTAAAAAAGAATCAAGACAAAATGCAAAAAAACAAGCTAAAATTTAGCTAATTAAAACAAAAAATCATACTTTAACAGATGCTTTTCAGATACTCTAAAATAGATTTTTCCTACCATGATACTCTAAATATAGAATATCACTGTAACAACATGTAAACATATTTATATTATTTTCTCCCTCTTCTTCGCCTTCCTCTCTCCTTCTCTATTTCATTATTTTTCAAAAAAATAATATAAAAGAAATGAGAAATAATATTTAAAAGTAGTAGTTAAAAATATAGAGAATCTGTTGGAGTATGTATTAAAAAAGTGAGTAGTTAAAATAGAAAAAATTATTTTTTGGATAACTAAAATATAATTTGTTGTTGGAGATACCCTTAGAAGATTTTTTATGGGGAATCTCAACAAGTGCAAATCATATGTTGAAGCTTTGTATTCACACATGAAAGACAATGGCAAGAAGAGGAAGTTGAGCAGATTGAAAGATAGGAAAAATATAGAAGCTCAATAGCTACTCTTTGCATGAATAGTCCTTTACCATGATTAAGGACTTTTTTAGAATTTTACCATCCCAGTCTCGTCCGTTAGTCCATTTACACAACCAAAAACTTGAAATAGACAAATTGTTAAAATTTTATAAAATAAATTTTTTTTATATATATAAAAATTATAACAAAAGCTTGAAATTTTTATATCTCTCTCCTCTACATGCATGAAAAATATCTATACTAATCAACAAGTTAAATAAGTGATGTCAATTAATTGAAATTTTGTGGGCCCAAAAAAATACACAGAATCATTTATTTGTTTGTAGTGACAGCAATTGAACAGTACCATTGATGTTACCCAGTTTGGACAAGTGTCAAATCAAATTTCTTTTTTCTTATTCTATCACTGTCTTACCAGAGTGAAAGAGAAAGAAGAAATAAAAAAATAAAAAAAAAATCTTAGTTATCTATCTGTTAAATCTATTAGATCTGCACATGAAAAGCACAGCTAAGNATATATATATATATATATATATATATATATATATATATATATATATATACATATTTTATTATTGTATTTTTATATGAAATTAATATATACTTAATATACAGACAAATAAAATACATCTTAACACAAATAATTAACTTTTCATTCATTTTTCTTCCGATTTTGAAGGGATTGATTTTGATGAGTTAGAAGGAAATTGAATTCATCCACTTTTTCATCATTTTTATTTTTCTTCCTTATCAAATATGGTGTTTTATTTATCCCTCTAACTTTCTATCCTTTCAACTTTTCATCATTCTATTTTTTTATCACACCAAACAGAGCACGAGTGGTTGTTATTACATTTGCGCACAAATTATTGCACATTGTTAGGAGATGTACACATAAAATATTGTATATTTTCATCTGTGTATGACACTTTTATATTCTTTGTAGGCATCACAGGACATTGGTACGTACGTGAATTCTTAGCGGTGGATTAGTAGTTCAGATTGTCCTTTCATACCTTCTAAAGATTAATCACTTTTATTTTTCGAAGAATATGTTTTAAATTAAATCGAATTATGAGGATTGGCTCAAAATTAAAGAAAGTTATCAACATAAAAGAAAAAAAAAAAAGGACACCGCCACGTGATACTCGATATTTCTCGGCTGACTGATCGGTACCGCAGCCGGACTCCACTTACTAAGACGCCGAGAAAGTACAATTTTCACGTGGAAAAGATGAAATGAAACTAATGGATAAAATCTGTCCTCATGTTTCTCTTTGTTGTGTCACCCAGTCAAATATACAGTGATCAAATTTTCAGTAAAAACTGTTAGAATTTAATACGATTTAAATTCACTAACAAACACACACAATCGAAGAACAAAACAAGAATATAAAGCAATAAGAAACAAGAAATAACAAGACACAGATTTTACGTGGTTCGGCAATTTGCCTACGTCCACGAAGCTGCAGGGATTTCACTATTGAGAGAGTTGAATACAGAGAGCGGCTGTACAATCCACGATTAACTCTAATCACCAAAACAACAGGGATTATATGTCCTACGCACTGGGCTGTATAACGGGCCCAAAAAAATTTTCCTCGGGGGCGTTGCCCCTGAACCCTCACGAGGCTTGTCCATGAGCGCTACGGCTTGGGCCTATTGGCCCAAGCCTTCGCTCCATAGACTAAGCCTCAAAAAATTTTTCATTAAAAACCACACAACATTACTTCGAGTCAGGTCATCATCCCGGATCACATATATAAACTAGACTCCATAAAAAAAAAACCAACAAAAACTACTGCTTATCTAATTTACACTTATCTAAGAAATGATATGTGTTCAAGTTTTATTTTGACTATGTAATATTTTCTTAAGTTGATAGAAATCAGTATTATACTCCCCTTTAAATAGAAAATGCGAACACAGCATTGATGCACAACCAAGTTCCTGCGAATGAGAGAGAGATATGCTTTGTACCCATGGAAAGAGTTGGTGAAGAAGAAAGAGTGTTTATCCATGAAAAAGTGAGTTTTTTTTATTTGGCTGACAAATGTTAAGACAGAAAGAGTTGTTTTTTCAGGAGTTGTCTTTGGTAAGCATCAAAATTTTATTTTGATATATTATTTTAATCACTTAAAAAATAAAAATATTTCGATTCGTTTCAAAAATATAATAAAAAAATATATAATTTAATAATTATTTTTTAAAAATATTCATCAAAATATCTTAAAAGAACTTGAAATATTTTGAAATAATTATATAAAATATATTAAAATATTAAATTTCAATTCTATCATTAATTTATTTTGATCTGCTTAAAAAAAATTTAAAATATTTAACCATTTTAAAATAAAATTTTGTGATCTTTCATTTTTTGAGAAGAATTTTTAAAGCCAATACTTATCCAAACGGTAACGATTTAACTGACAACATTGTTTCCTGTGTCTACCTAACCACAAGGAGCCTCACCCGTTTTTCACACGTTGGCCTTCGGAATTGGGTCTGAAATGATTAGTAGAAGATTTTTTAGTGCTGAAGAAAAATTCTTCCCCAACCGCCAGAGACGATGCCATCTAAGAATATAAAGTGTCATTCATAAGGAAAGGAGCGTTGGGATTTGATCCATATCTGCTATAGTTTTTTGGGGAATTCTACGGTATTGAAGGAGGTAACCTACCATCTGTTATAACTATTTAAGGTTAAATTATAATTTTTTTAAATTATAAATTATAATATTTAAAGGTCATAATCAATCATGATAAATTAGAATTGATACCAAATTACAATTTTTAAAAGTCAAATTATAACTCATAAAAAAGAAGTTTACAACTGTTTAGAGGAAGTTCATAATCGATCATGTATATCTGTGATCGATCATGATCCTTATTGAACAGTTGTAATTTCTTCTTTATAAATTGTAACTTTACCAAAAAAGTAGTAATCGACGGTACAGTACCAAAGTCGATACCGTATAATTTCACTAGTTTTTTGCTAGGTAAATCTCCCTTTTAAAATTCTTTTATCTAAATAATATTATTGATGATGCGTTCTATGTGACTGAGTAGAAGTGAACGATATGAAAACCTTGCTAAAAAATGTTGATGGGATTTATTGGGATATTTGGTCAAAACTACTAGGCTCATTGGAATTTGAACAGTAAATCGTGGGTTAAATAACTACAAATAAAGACTAATAAACAGAGAATTTATAATGGTTTATAAATTTGAAAGTTTAGTTAGTCCACTCCAATCGAATTTCTTATTCCGCGAAGTTTTCTATTATTTGAGAAAAGAAGATTAGAGAATTACAAAGAGTAATAGTACAGATGTTTGCTTGATTACAATGCAAGGGATTTGATCCTTATTTAATATACAGTTGACTTGTGTGATTATTTTGCGTGATGTCTACAGTCTTTTCGTAATTAATGTGATTCCCTTGGAACTGTTATGACCCACGTATCAGAATATTTGGTCTTTAAAAATTATACCATCTACGCGTATAATGTGATTCCCTCGTCACTATCTGTACAAGGGTTATGTTGATGATGATTCCCAACCTTAAATGTCAGAGTTAAGAGGTCCGATCTTAATCTTAACTAATTTATTGTATCTTCAATTACTTTTTTTTTGGTCAAACAAATAAATGAATAATATTACCTCAACTTATTTATTAAATTATTTTTTTTTCACTCTTTTAATACGTGTTTTAAAAACACAATTTCAATAAAAATAAATAAATAAATAAGTTGAAGTGTGTATTTGCAAATGTCACTTTTCCACTTATAAAATGAGTGTTCTACAATAGCCCCTCCGAACGCCCGACATCCCAAAGGTAAGCTTTACATGTTTACACGAAGATCTTTTGTATTCGTCATGACTTTTAGCTTTTATCCACTAGAACGAGGTNTAAGCTTTACATGTTTACACGAAGATCTTTTGTATTCGTCATGACTTTTAGCTTTTAGCCACTAGAACGAGGGGACACAATTGGACCAGTGAGATAATCAAACTACATATCCAAATTACTTTTTTTTTTCTTTTAAATTCATTATCTTTATCATATAAGATTTTCCTTAATCTCCCTAATTCCTGTATCATTCTTTCCTTCATATCTTGGTACTTTTTACAACTTACATCCTTTTATCGAGTTTCTGATATTACCGTTCAAGTTTCCAATAAAAAATTATAGCAGTATTTCCAAAATATATTATTATAAAAAACTATAGTTTGAGAAATTAATTTCAAAATATTATATATTTATATAAAAAAATTAAAATAAATATTAGAGGGATGCATGGGGACACAACATATATCCACGTGCTGGTTCTGTTTATAGGGTTCGTCCAGCCTAAGTCAACTTCGGCGACTTTAAAAGTTTTTCAGTGGCACACCCACTTCTTTTTTTTTANATAAATATTAGAGGGATGCATGGGGACACAACATATATCCACGTGCTGGTTCTGTTTATAGGGTTCGTGCAGCCTAAGTCAACTTCGGCGACTTTAAAAGTTTTTCAGTGGCACACCCACTTCTTTTTTTTTATTTTTTCACAATGGTGAGGTTATTTTCATTATTTTACATATATTCTGATTAATTTTTTTAATTTAATTAAAAATAAATTATTTATATCAAAACTAAAATATTTATAAAAAATATTTTTTTTTATATTTTAATCTAAAACAATTACCAAAGTTTAAATTAAAATATTTAAATTTATGATTCGTCCACTTGAGTTATCTGTCACGCACTTCTTTGACTATTGCACTGGCAAACATTTGTAGGATAAGATTTGAAAGGACATGGAAATTATGTGTATGATATGAACTAAACATAAATACAAATTACGTAGTAAGTTTTCTGCTTGCCCATTTAGGACTAATTTTGAGGATTTGTGAGTGTGACAACATTTTTTGGGAGTAATATTATTCAGATTTTATTTATTATTAATATTTTTGAATTTTTACCACTTTAATATAACATTAGATAAAATATTTTAAAAAAATACATGTATTTCTTTTTGTTTGCTTATTAAAAATAAAAAAAATATTATAACTGTTGGACAAACAATGAATCTCATTTAATATTAAATTTTATTTTAATTTAATTATTTTTAATAAAATGTGTCGGTAATTAAGTCTATAATCCACAAGTAGCATTACTCTTTTTTTTCTTTTTTGTTGTGAGTACTTCCGAGTGACATGGATCTCTATTTACCGGAAAAAAAAAAAAAGATGACATGGATCTCCATTTTATTTTTCTTATATTAAANACATGGATCTCCATTTTTTTTTGCTTATTTTATTTTTCTTATATTAAAATGAATTATTTTTAACAATATCTATTAACCTAGAAATGTATCTCCATTTTTTTTTCTTCTTTTATTTCTTTTCCTTTTTTCTAATTAAAATGAATTATTTTTAACAATATCTATTAACCTAACACAAAATCACCTCAAAATTAACTATTTTACTATATTTGGTTGTCAAAAATATTCTATTTATATATGTGTATATATATATATATGTGTATATATATATATATATGAATAGTACATTCTTCTCGCATTATTGATTCAATTCTAATACCACCTGGAAATGTGAAATTATTATTCAATTTAATTGTATTACATTATAAATTTACTATATTGCTTCTCAAATAAACAAAACACATGATAACTAGACTAAAATTAATGATTGTTTTGGTCATTATATAATTATTTAATTGTTAATTCATATTTTATTAAATAATATATTATATTTTTATTTCACATTTAATTTTATATTTGATCTGTTTATACAGAATTAATNACACATGATAACTAGACTAAAATTAATGATTGTTTTGGTCATTATATAATTATTTAATTGTTAATTCATATTTTATTAAATAATAAATTATATTTTTATTTCACATTTAATTTTATATTTGATCTGTTTATACAGAATTAATAAAAAAAAAAAAATCACAAATAAACAAACGAGAGCAGTGGGAACTTCCAGAGTCTGTTAAAATGACTCTCTTCGCTCTCCTTCCCATTCCCGTCTTAATTCAAACGACCGACACAAATCTTTCCTCCGTCAACAACTGTCCAATATGTCGGCGGCGAGAACTTCCCTGCAAAATCTCCCCTTTCTCTCTCTACTCTCTCTCCTCTGTCTCCTTTCTGGCGCCAACTCCGACGAGCTACAAATTTTACTGAATATTAAAACCTCCCTCCAAAACTCAAACACAAATNCGGCGGCGAGAACTTCCCTGCAAAATCTCCCCTTTCTCTCTCTACTCTCTCTCCTCTGTCTCCTTTCTGGCGCCAATTCCGACGAGCTACAAATTTTACTGAATATTAAAACCTCCCTCCAAAACTCAAACACAAATATATTCGATTCCTGGGAATCGAACAATAAGATATGTGACTTTACAGGAATCACTTGCGACTCCAACGGATCAGTAAAAGAAATCGAGCTCTCCAATCACCGGCTCAGCGGTTCGGTTCCTTTCGATTCCATATGTCAGCTTCAATCATTGGAAAAGCTCTCTCTTGGGTTCAACCTTTTGTCCGGACTTGTGACGGAGGGATTGAATAATTGTTCTGGGCTAAAGTATTTGGATCTTGGCAATAATTTCTTTTCTGGGTCAATCCCAGAATTGTCTTCAATGAATGGATTGATGTATCTTCACATGAATAACAGTGGATTTTCTGGGATTTTTCCATGGAATTCACTGAACAACATGACAGGTCTCGCTGTGTTGAGCCTAGGAGACAACCCGTTTGATCGAACTCCATTTCCGAAGGAAGTGCTCAAGCTTACCCAGTTGAATTGGTTGTATCTTTCAAATTGCAGTATCGAAGGGCAAATTCCGAAGGAAATTGGGAATTTAAGCAAGCTTATCAACTTGGAGCTGTCGCTGAACTCTATCTCCGGCGAAATTCCGGTGGAGATTACAAAGCTTTCGAATCTATGGCAGCTTGAGCTCTTTCAAAACGAATTGAACGGAACACTTCCGGTTGGGTTTGGGAATCTTACTGGCCTCGAAATGTTTGATGCTTCGAGTAATTACCTTACCGGCGACCTTTCGGAGGTGAGGTTGTTGAATCAATTGGTGAGTTTACAACTTTTCGAGAATCAAATCTCGGGTGAAGTGCCGCCGGAGCTTGGGGAATTCAAGAAGCTCGTGAACGTGTCGCTTTATGGTAATATGCTCACTGGTTCGATACCGGCGACGCTTGGTTCATGGGCGGACTTCAACTTTATTGACATCTCGGAAAATTTTATGACCGGCCCAATACCGCCGGACATGTGCAAGAAGGGGACGATGACTGAGCTCTTGATGCTCCAGAACAACTTTACCGGTGGAATTCCGGCGAGTTACGCGAATTGCACGACGCTAACGCGTTTTCGGGTCAGCAACAATTCACTTTCCGGTGTTGTTCCGAGTGGAATTTGGGGGCTACCCAAGGTTGATATAATTGATATTGCAATGAATGCACTGGAAGGGCCTATAACTTCTGATATTCAAAATGCAAAGTCTTTGGCGCAATTGTTTGTCGCTAATAATCGGTTATCTGGTAACTTGCCATCTGAGATGTCAAAAGCTTCGTCGTTGGTTTCAATTGATTTGAGTTACAATCAATTTTCCGGCGAATTACCAGGGAAAATTGGGGACTTAAATCAGCTTATCAGTCTTCATTTAGAGAACAACATGCTTTCTGGATCAATTCCTGACTCGTTAGGCTCTTGTGATTATCTAAGCGACCTAAACATGGCACACAATTCGCTTTCTGGTCAAATTCCATCGTCTCTCGGATCTTTACCGACTCTCAACTCGTTAAATCTTTCTGATAATAAACTTTCCGGGCAAATTCCGGCGAGTTTGTCATCTCTAAAAGTGAGCCTTCTTGATCTTTCCAACAACCGATTGACGGGTCCCATTCCACAATCTCTTTCAATTGAGGCATATAATGGCAGTTTTGCCGGAAATTATGATCTCTGCAGTCAGAACATCAAGTCTTTCCGGCTGTGCTCGTCGGAATCCGGCCTGTCTAGGAAGCTCAGTACTCTTATCATGTGCTTCTCGGTGGGTGCAATTGTCATGCTTGTCTTACTTGCAAGTTTCTTGTACTTGAAGAAGGGTCAAAAAGACCATGACCGATCGTGGAAGGAAGATTCATGGGATGTGAAGTCTTTCCATGTATTGAGCTTCACAGAAGATGAGATTCTTGATTCAATCAAGCAGGAAAATGTAATAGGAAAAGGTGGTTCAGGAAATGTATATAGAGTTGAGCTAGCTAATGGTAAAGAATTAGCAGTGAAACACATTTGGAATTCCCCGGATTCCGGTGGACGAAATAAGTCCGGGAGTACTACTCCTATGCTCAGAAAGGGTGGTGAGAAGTCCCGGGAATTCGATGCTGAAGTAGAAACATTGAGTTCAATAAGGCATGTTAATGTGGTGAAATTGTACTGTAGCATTACAAGCGAGGACTCGAGCTTATTGGTGTATGAATATATGCCAAATGGGAGTTTGTTTGACCAATTACATTCATGTAGAAAGATGGCGTTGGATTGGGAAACGCGTTATGAAATAGCTGCGGGTGCAGCCAAAGGATTGGAGTATTTACATCACGGGTGCGAGAGGCCGGTGATTCACCGGGATGTCAAGTCTAGCAACATCTTGTTGGATGAGTTTCTGAAGCCGAGGATTGCTGATTTTGGGCTTGCAAAGATTTCTCAAACCAATGTAAGCAAGGGTTCAAGCTCAACCAATGTTGTAGCAGGAACACATGGGTATATTGCTCCTGGTAAGCACATTTTTTAGTTCAATTCTGTTACTTAGATAATAGTTACTTATGTTAAAAATAAATCCAGTGCACNGTAAGCACATTTTTTAGTTCAATTCTGTTACTTAGATAATAGTTACTTATGTTAAAAGTAAATCCAGAGACCCCATTAACAACAATTATTTATCTTGACTATAGTTATAGTTTTTGGAAGTTGAAGTTTATAACTTAGACTGTTATTTTTTTTTTGGGCAGAATATGCATACACTTGCAAAGTGAACGAGAAGAGCGATGTGTATAGTTTTGGGGTGGTTTTGATGGAGCTTGTGACCGGAAAAAGGCCAATTGAGCCTGAGTTCGGGGAGAACAAGGACATATTGAATTGGGTTTGTAGCAAGATGAAGAACAGAGAGAGCATTTTAAGCATGGTGGACTCTGCTATCCCAGAGGCTTACAAAGAAGAGGCCATCAAGGTTTTGAAAATAGCCATTCTATGCACTGCAAGGCTTCCTACACAAAGGCCTACCATGAGAGCAGTGGTTCAGATGCTTGAGGATGCTGAGCCTTGTAAATTAGTTGGTATCATCATAAATAAAGATGGTGGAAATAAGAAAGAGGAATTGAGAGATATTGATGGAAAATACAATCCAAGTCCTTAATGTTCCAAAAAATGATCATTTTGGGTTGTGGGTTTGTGAAAAAAATGTTGTATTATGTAATTTTTGGAACCTGACATCACCTTTGTAACATACTAGCTAGAGCCTTTGTTGTGTAATGTTAGTCACTCGAATGAAGTATATTGTATGCCCATTGAATATTGTACAATTTTAAGGTTATTAGTGGGAAGAAACTGCCTGCCTCAAGTGGAGCTTATGGGTGTTTATTTAAATGGTCCAATTCAATTCTCATCTTATTCTATTGTTTTTGTGTGTATGGTTGTGGTGAGTGGGGTTTTTTTTTTTTTNTATAAAAAATAGAGGAAACTAAGGTGAAAGGTACGCTGAATTCTCCTTGTGTTCTTGCAATTGTATTTCATTACCGACTTAAGCATCAAAGTGCTTTCAATCAAAACATTTCGATCTTGAGCAGTTTGTTCGTTTTGCAAGAAGCAAAAACTGGGAGATCAAGTTCAAAACTCACTCTTATCAGAAACGTTTAATCTTTATTCTTGTAGGAGGTATCCTCAATTTTTACCCCTTACATTTTTGGCGCCATTTGTGGGAAGATTTTCATCATTCGCAACGAAAGACTACGATGTTAAGATTGAGAAGTGCAATTGGATCTCCCAAAGGCAGTTTTGCCTTGAAAAATTCTGATCTAGTATCACTCCCATCTGACGGCAACGCTAGATTAGATGCCACCAGAAGTCCATCTAGACCTCACAAAGACAATGAGGTATCTTCAAGCAGTTTCAAACCATTCAGAGATCAAAATCAGCAGATTGTAGGTCGTGGGGAATCCCTTTGTGCCGAGGGGGAGAACCACTATTTGGCGAAACTGGTCCAATCCCTGCAGAACAAGCTGGATGCACGCGACAAATTATTTAAGAAATCTTACGCTAGGGAAAGAGACCTGATAAAGGAGAATGAAGAGTTGAAAGCCAAGTTGAAGGACTTGACCAGAAAAGAGAAGCATGAAAGGGACAGCCGACGAGAAAGTCTTGAGAAAAAACATGACAGAACCAAGGATGCTAGGGATGATAAGTACCAGCAGAAAAGACCTCAGGTTTCGGAGAAAGACTCATGGAAGCAATACATTACCGAGGAACTCAACAACCACTTGAAAAAGCCAGAACAGAGGTCGGCTAGAGACCTAGCCAAGAGAGCGACAGGGGTATTCGGGAACGACAGAGTCATCACCCTTCACTTAATGGATTGAAAGGGGGCGAATCCCAAGCAAGTTTACCGTCCCAAATTTTAGACTTTACGACGGAAAAACTGACTCAGACTCGCACATCAGACATTACAGACAGTTGATGACAGTTCACCGAAGGAATGAGCCACTATTTTGCACCATCTTCCCTAGCAGTCTTGGGGAGTCGGCCATAAAATGGTTTGACAATTTGCCGAATGGATCGATAGATGGATGGTCGCAATAGCCCGAGTAGTTCACGACTCAGTTCATTACGAGTAATAAGCAGCCAAAGGATGTTGGGGGCTCTGCTGACGTTAAAAAAGAAGAATAATGAAACCCTACGAGAGTACGCTCATCACTATTGGAAAACGATGAATGAGGTTGAAAGATGTAATCCCAAAATCTCAGTGGTGTCCTTCAAAATCAGATTGCCAAATGAGAACCCTCTGTACCAATCACTCACCAAAAGACCAGCCACCGACTGGGAAGAATTAATGGCAAGGATTGAAAAGTATGTCAAAGTCGACGACGACGACTTACCCAGAGATATAGTTAAAAAAAATCACGGCATAAGACAGTTCGGTCAAGACAAGCAGATCGAGCTGAGCCGTAAGGGCGGAAGGAAGAATGAGAAGGAGGGCTATCCCCAGAAGTCCCCTTTTCTTGGGGTAAATACACTTTTCAAGGAACCGATATATAAGATCCTGGACCAAATCAAGGCGCAGCCATTCTTCAAGTGGCCTAACAAGCTAACTGGAGACCCTTCGAAAAGGAATTCAAACTTCAGATGTTCATATCATCGGGATGTAGGTCACATGACGAAGAACTGTCAACCTTTAAAGCAGCATTTGGAAGAGCTGGTCCAGGCAAGACATCTCACCGAGTACATTGAAAGTGGAGCAAGAATCGATGGTGGGAGGACCAACCCCAAAGGAGATCACAACACACCAGTTGGGATGATTAATGAGATCCACGCTGCAACAAATCCGTAGATGTCTACAAACAACTCTGCTAGGGCGTATATTCAGAAAGCTACCAAGGAGAGAGAGGTATATGAGTTGCGATTGACCCCGGAGGTTATGAACAAAAGAATTAAGGTGGAGACAGTCGAGGCCATTTGTTTCACCGAGCAGGATTTGGTCAAAGTTCATCAACCACACAACGACGTTCTAGTCGTTACGCTTCAAATTGCTAATTACGATGTGAGAAGAGTTTTGATTGATCTAGGGAGATCCTCTGAGATCATGTATATAGATCTCATTGAGAAATTCGATCTTAAGAAGGAAGATCTTAAGCCCTCAAATACTCCACTTATAGGCTTTAGTGGTAAAACAGTTCTTCCTAAGGGGAAGATCACGCTACCTGTAAAAACTGGACCAGTTTGTATCATAACCAAGTTCCTGGTAGTGGATATGGTCTCGGCTTACAATGTCATAATGAGGCGGTCCTGACTACACGAGATGAAGGCGGTACCATCAACGTACCACCAGATGTTAAGGTTCCCTTCATCTGAAGGGATAGTGAACATCCAAGGAGACTAGGTCAGTTCTAGAACTTGTTTATTGGCCTCAGTCAAAGCCAAGGACGAATCAAAGGCTCGAGAAAGGGATTCACTAGCCGAGGAAATGAAATAGCAATCAACACATGACGGCACGGTCATTTCTACCAACCGAGCTGTCACAAAAAGCCCTAAAGTACCTTTAAGCACAGAAAAAGAAGTTACTGATCGAACAGTCGAAGAGTTGGCTAAAGTACCTTTAGGCAAGGACGAAGACCAAGGGAAGTACTTTTTGTTGGGAACAAATCTTAGCCCTGAGCAGAAAAAAAAAGCTTGTCACCTTATTGAGAGAATATGCCAATGTTTTTACATGGAGCACGAGTGACATGTTTGGCGTACCGTCCGAAATGACATGCCACCACTTAAACGTTGACCCTAGCTTCAAGCCAGTTAAGCAAAAACTCAGGAGGTCGGCCACTCAGCATCAGGATGCAGTAAACGAGGAAGTGGCAAGATTACTTAAGTCCCAAATAATTAGGGAGGTACAATATCCGACCTGACTATCAAACACTGTGGTGGTAAAAAAAAAGAACAAGAAGTGGAGAGTCTGTGTTGACTTCACCGACCTCAACAAAGACAGCTTCCCCCTACCTAAGATAGATCAACTTGTTGATGCAACTGTCGGACATAAGCAAATGAGCTTCTTAGATGCCTACAGAGGATACCACCAGATTCCTCTTGCCAATGAGGATCAAGAAAAGACCGTCTTTATTACACCTGAGGGGACATACTGTTACAGGGTGNGAGCTTCTTAGATGCCTACAGAGGATACCACCAGATTCCTCTTGCCAATGAGGATCAAGAAAAGACCGTCTTTATTACACCTAAGGGGACATACTGTTACAGGGTGATGCCCTTCGGGTTGAAGAATGCAGGAGCGACATATCAGAGGTTGGTTACCAAGATGTTTTCACACATGATAGGCAGTACTATAGAGGTCTATATCGACGACATGGTGGTGAAGAGTCGAAGAGCCACTAGTCACTACTCTCACCTGAGAAACACATTCGATGTTCTGCGAAGGTACAAGATGAAATTAAACGCTTCAAAGTGTCCATTTGGGGTCAGATCAGGGAAATTTCTTGGCTTTCTGGTTACACACCAAGGTATAGAGATGAACCACGATCAGGTGAAGGCAATTGCAGAATTACAGTCACCTCGGACAATCAAGANTCTTGGCTTTCTGGTTACACACCAAGGTATAGAGATGAACCCCGATCAGGTGAAGGCAATTGCAGAATTACAGTCACCTCCGACAATCAAGGAAGTACAAAGGCTAACAGGGATGGCAGCGCTCAGAAGGTTCATATCCCGAGCATCAGATAAGTGTCGACCTTTCTTCTAATCAATCAAAGGAAGGAATGGGGCACTTTGGAGTCAGGAGTGCGAGGAGGAATTTTTAAACCTAAATGCATACTTGGCCTCCCCACCAATCCTCTCAACCTCATTGCCTGACGAAAGACTTTTTCTCTACCTAGCTGTATTGGAACACACAGTAAGTGGAGCTTTGATAAGGAATGATTGTGAAAAGCTAAGACCTGTTTATTATATGAGCAAGATACTCTTAGATGCAGAGTCAAGGTATACTCCATTAGAGAAGCTCGCACTTGCTCCAATTAGCTCGACTAGGAAACTAAGATATTGTTTCTAGGCACATCAAATCATGGTGCTCACTGATCAACTGTTGAAGTCACTCTTTCAGAAAGTCGACCTGTCTGGACGCGTCGCAAAATAGGCAGTCGAGCTCGAAGAGTTCAACGTCGAATTTGAACCGAGGAAGGCGATCAAAGGCCAAGTTGTGGCAGATTTCATCGCAGAATTCAGACCTAAAAACAGTTCAGAACAGAGCAAATAGATGGATGATAATGAAAAATCAGTGCTCCATGGCGAATGGACCCTATCTGTTGATGGGTTTTCAAATCAAAAAGGTGTCGGCATTGGCCTCACACTAGTAAGTCCAAATGGTTGTATTTTGGAAAATGCCATCAGGCTCTGCTTCCAAGCCTCAAATAACGAAGCTGAGTATGACGTTTTGATAGTTGGAGTAAGGTTAACAGCCGAACTAGGGGCAATTAAACTACAGATATTCTCTGATTCACAATTAGTGGTGAATCAGATAATAGGGGAGTATGTGACAAAGGATGAAAGAATGATTGCGTATCATGCCATTGTAGAAAAAGAATTGAGCAAAATTCCAAAATACTCTATTTAGCAGGTCGGAAGAGCAAAGAACTCGCATGCTGATGCTTTAGCCTCGTTGGCCTCGACCATTGACCAACAAATTGAAAGGACTCTTACCATTGAGTTCCAGTCCGAGCCCAGTATTTTGCTAACCAATTCTAATGAAGTCTTATATAACAAAGCCGAGCTGAGTTGGATGGATCCAATAATTGACTTCTTAAAAAATGGTAACTTGCTCGAAAACAAGAAGGAAGCTCATAAGCTACGTCTTAAAGCTGCGAGATTCT